GGTCCTGACCGCAGCGGCTGAGGCTCCCCGGCAGCGCGGGAGCGTGGCCGGGGCAGAGCTCCTTACCTACGGATGTTCATGGGTGCCACGCTCTCCCACGTGTTGGTTTTGGGGTTGTAGCGTTCGACGGAGTTAAGGCAGCTGGTCCCATCGTTGCCGCCAGCCACGTAGAGCATCCCCTCCAGCACAGCCACTCCTGCGCTGCTCCGGCGGCTCAGCATGTTGGCAATGGGCGTCCAGGTGTTGACCTGCGAGGAGGCAATGTCTGTTCGTGAGCCAGAGGTACAAGTCGTTTTCCACGTACCCCTGCCAAAGCAGTGCTCTGACATTCGTCCCGCTCCAACCACACAGATCCTGACATCACCAGTCACAGGGGTCGAGCTGTATCTATGCCAAATCTGTACAAGTCACGACCTTGGCTTTACAGCTCATGAAAAAAACCCCAGGTCCTTCTCTTTGATCTTTTTGCGGTGATCCAGCCTCCTCTAACAGAGCTGTGAGACCCCAGGCCCAACACACGTCCCCAGCCTGCCACCATCCCTGCTAACCACTCTGGATGTGCACGCAGCAAGGACCTCAGCTGGAAGCTGGGAAACAGCTCAAGGCATGGACAAGAACTGCTTTTCCTAGAGAACTTGAACTGGCCTACAGGCAACGGGGACAGACAGTGTTCTGGTGGTTGAAAATCTCAAAGAGATTTCTCAGAGCCTGAATGGATGAGCTTTGGCTCATTTTGAGCCAAAAGACCCAAAATACTCTGCCCCTGCAGTAGAGCCGGAGCGGGGGCCGATACCCGCTCCATCTCATGGTCACGCGTGGTGGCTGGAGTCTCCAAGGAGGCAGGAGGCAGGCAGCTCTGTGCTGCCCAGGCGCGTGTGGGCACACCTTCTGCTCCACTGCCGCCGCAATACGTTGCTGGGAAGCGGTCACATCCTAAGCTATGACAGTGGTTTGTTAAGAGACCACCTCTAGCTGATCTCTCCCTGTCTGCTAAGTTCTCCAGCAACCCGTGTGGCCCTCAGCTTTCTGCAGGACCCTTGCTGGCACCCATCAGAAGGGGACAAGCAAAAGGGTTACCAGGGATGCTCTCTCTCATATTTACCTGGGGCTCATACTTTTCCACCGTGGCTAAGTGGGATGAGCTGTCATATCCCCCAACGGCATAGAGGTTGCCTTCTGCAAAGACAGTCACACACATGCACGAGTCAGCTGAAGAGCGTGGCCCCGCTCCCACCACAGCCTCCCACAGCTCTTGCACAGGGTGCCCACACCGGCACCAGCCGAGCCGCAGCGACTCCCGCAGCCGAGCTCCGCTCAGCAGCCCTCCCCCAGCCCCCCCCTCTTTCTGCAGCACGGAGCATCGTGAAATATTCATCAGGCAATTTCTCTGCCGTGCTGCAAGCTTCCCAAAGAGCTCGTTCGCCTGCCGCTTCTTGACCTCCTCATTATGGGAGCTGCAAGTGCTCCCCGCCAGAGCACCGGGTTATTTTTAGCAGGGGAGGCTGGAGCAGGGGAACGCCAATAAAGGCTGTGGCAGGCAGAGAGTGCGACCTGGTGATGGAGAGGAGGGAACCTCTGAGTCAGCACCGGAGCTGAAAGCAGAGAAGAAGGCAGGGGAGAGGCACCATGGGGACACCGCACAGCAGCTCTGGGGATGGTGAGGAGCAGCGTGCTACCCTGGCATCCCCAGGTAGGGTGGAGAGTGGTGCTGGCATTAACCCCACAGCTGCACTGCGTGATGAAGTGGCCAGTTCTCACGCTGCACCCTCTTTCAGGACAGAACTCATCCAATGAAGTCAGGAGACACCACAGCATTGCACCCAATGTTGTGACTCCCCTGGCTGAGACAGTTCTGGCCCTGCACTACTGCTTGGATCATCAGTAAAAGGACCATCCTGCTTTCATAATGCAGGAGTAATAAGGTTGTCTCTTCCTTTCTAGGCACAGGCGACCATCCACAGCCAGCCCACTTGCTCCAAAGTAGCAGGGGCACAAAGGAGTTGAGGAACGAGTTGTGGGTCCCCTCAGCAGTTGCCTCCAGAATGTGATGAAACCCAATTACTAGGGAGACTGAGGAGAAGGGCAGAGGCAGGGAGCATGCCAGGACACAGCAGAGGAATGGCTGGGCTACCCAGATTCACGGCTAGGGAATCCAGGAAGAAGGGGCAGGAACTAGAACAGAAGAACACCAAAAGGAACCACAAGAAATGCAAGAGACAGTCTACACAGAAATCAGTCGGGTCCTCGAGCCGTCACCCACCTAGCGTGGCCACCCGGACGTAGCGTCTCCTGGTGCTCATGGCAGCGATGGACGTCCAGGTGCCCGTCAGAGGGTCGTACCGCTCTGCGCTGCAGCAGGCAGGGACACAGGAACATAAGGTGTGACACTGGCAAAGCCCAGGCCAAAGCTCTTTGACACAGGCTCGCAGGGGCAGCTCCCGAGGAAGCTTGGGAATAGACAGGGAAAATGGAGGGAAGAACTGACAAATGCTGTGTTCTCTTGTGGCAGGGGGCTACAAAATGGGGTTTTCCCCTGAAGAAACTTTGCCTGGGCCAAAGACACTGGAAGACAGAGCTGGATTGCAAGACATCTACTCTGGGGCCAGCCCGTCTGCCGGGAGGTGGCCCTGTGGGCTCCCCAGCACCCAGCTCCAAGGACAGTGCATGCAAGAGCAGTGGAGGAGGCTGCAGCACGGCCATCCCCTACCTGTTCAGGCACGAGGCCCCATCATACCCCCCAGCAGCATAGAGAAGCCCGTGAAGCGCTGCTACACCCAGGCAGCTCCTCCTGGTGCCCATGGACACCTCAGGTTGCCAGGAATTGGTGACAGGATCATAGGACTCCACTGTGGCCAAATCAGAGGTCCCATCGTAGCTGTAGGGAGAAAAAGGGAGAACACGTAAGAGTTGGGAAGCCTGCAGAAGCTTGCAGCTGGGAAGAGTTGCAGGGGAGGCAGTGGGCTGGTCCTACAGCTCTGGAGCTGCCAAAGAGCCTAGACGGCACAGCCTGCCTTGGGTCCCTGTCAGCGTCCCTCCTCTCTCCTCCCCGCCCAGCCTCCTCAAGGCAGAGAGCGCTAAGCCTCTCCTGAAAGCATGGAGCCCTGAGCTGAGCTCTTCTGGGAGGTGTGCGAGGAAGGCAGGTCTCGGGGGGCCCAGTACGCTGGGGCGGAGGTGGGCTGGGGAGTTAGCAGGCTTCGGCAGGAGGGTTGGACTAGATGACCCACAGAGGTCCCTTCCAACCCCTACCATTCTGTGATTCAACAGCCTGCAGCACAGGGAAACGGGAGGGAACAGAGCAAGCCCGGGACGTAGCCCCCACCAGCGAGCTAGCAAATTCACTGCTCGGAACTGCAAGGGCAGGGAAGTAGTTTCCAGCTGCTGCTCCTGCCATTAGTAGCCCACAGATACCAGGATGCTTCATCTGGGAGGCTCTGCTGGCCATACAATCATAGAACCATCAAGGCTGGAAAAGACCTCTAAGATCATCAAGTCCAGCCATCCACCCATCACCACCATGCCTGCTAAACCATGTCCCCAAGTGCCACATCTACACGCTTTTTGAGCCCCTCCAGGGATGGGGACTCCCCCACTGCCCCGGGCAGCCTGTCCCAACGCCTCACCACTCTTTCAGTAAAGAAATTTTTCCTAATATCCAGCCTGAACCTCCCCTGACGCAACCTGCAGCCGTTTCCTCTCG